CCAATGCAGGAGACGCCGTCCTCTGCCAGCACTGTCCCGTGGTCACAGAAGCAGATGACCTTGTGGCTCTCGGGGTCCAGGTGGCATTCATCTACCTCACAGCGGCTGCAGTTTAGATAATGCTTAATATTCACTTCCCCGTGGCCCTCCATCACTGGTGACAAGGAGGGAGGGTCAGCCTCGGGCTGCGCCTTCAGCCCTGCACCCCGTCCCCAGCCTCTGCGCGTTATCTCCGGCTGTCAGAGGGGTCTGGTCCCTGTTCCTAGGTCCCACTGTACCGCTGTGTCGGGAGTGTCTGGCGAGTGGCGCTGGGCAAGACCGTGTGGGGCTGTGTGGGTGCACTTTTGGAGGAGGTGGGGGTTCCACACATGACCCTTAGGCTGGTCAATATCCTGTTCTGTGTCCATATCAAGCACACATCCTGACTTGCAGAAAACTGGGTGAGATGAACCACAGGACATGCCTGAGGGACCCGCAATCGTGGCTGGTGTCCTGGCCTCCCGTCAGTTGCCCCGAGGCTCAGCTGGGTGAAAGAACTGGCCTAAGATGGTTCTGCCACCCGGCAGAGGGGGGTACCTTTTAAAGCTGGGGTGTACAGGATGCCTAGAGGGCTGATGAAGGAAACCCCATCCTCCCCGTCCATCTCGGGATCATTGCTTGAGGCTGCATTGCCGCCTGTGGCAAAGCAAAGAAGAGTTGAACGCAGAGAGGTGGGTGCCCAAGTCTCAACACGCGCATCCGCGGGGCATGCAGCGGGCAGTGAGGGCCTGGGGGCAGGGCCACGGGAGGGAAGGGAGGCTGAGGGCACAGGGCTGCCCTTAGAGCTGGGCTCAGTAGATGCCAGAGGGTGGACCGCTGTCCCTCCAGGTCCAAGCCAGCTCCCACCGGTATCTCCACCACACCAAGGGGCCCTGCTAGGAAGCAGCTCATGAAGTCTAGTCTGCCAGGCTGGTTGGCCCTTGGCACTTCTATTAGGACTGGCCAGAGAAGTAGCACTGAACCCCCCGTGCTGCTGGGTCAGGATTGGGGCACGAGGGGATTGGGCCCCTGTGCCCTGAGGCGCCTGTCCCTCCTTTCAGCTGGGGCTGGGTTATCTTTGGGTTCCCCCTTGGCCTCCTCCCACCGCCCAGGGCTTGGAGAAGAAGCGCATTGGTTAACACAGCATCTCACACACGGCAGAAAGCGAAACAGACAACATCACAGTGCATGCATGCATTGTGTCCTAATCTGCGGGACGGTGGTGCCACCATCTCCCAGCCTCTCAGCTTTGCAAGGCTCTTTGGCTCAGCTGTGAAGCCCACAGAGAGCTGGGGCCCGTGGCTGGCTGCTCTGGATGGGCTGGGCTCGGGCTGCCCACAGCTGCCCTCAGGAGTGATGCCCATCAGCACAGAGTGGTGCCATTCTGAAAGCTGGTGGGCTGGGGTGGGCAGGGGAGGAGTCTGTGAGGCCCCAAGCCACAAACCAGGCCCTTAGGAGCCGGCAGGGTGAGGACACAAGCCAGGCCTTCCAGAGGGAGGAGGCTGCCGCAAGGGTCTCATGCTCGCGTGCCCTTGGGGGTGGCTCAGAGCACAGTCTCCAGGTGACATCAAAGCACCTTTATCATGGGCTTTGGGGGAGATCAAGAATCACATGGGATCTTGATGCTTTTGCTGCTGAAGCCTTGAGGAAGGATGCTGGCTCGAAAGCCAACACCCTGCCTCCGGCCAGCCGGGCTGGGAGAGAGGAGGGCGTGCATGGGGGGGGCATCACAGTCCACACTTGGGGTGGGCGGGGGGAGAGCAGGCAGGGACCAGGGACAGGACGGGGAGGGGAGGTGCCTAGGACTAAGAGGGGAGGGGTGACACCTTGAACACGAATCATCTTTACCTATATATCCTCCGCCTCCTCCACCGGAGGAGCACCCCCCTCCACCCCCTCCGAAACCCCCTCTTGTCTCCCACCCCCACTTCTTCATGGCCTGGGGGCAGGAATGTCCTCCGGTGGCACCCTCCAGCAAAGACTTTCCAGACCAGAGCAAGGAAGTGTTATCATTCCAGCCACCTCCACCACCTGCGGGGAGAGATGGAGAAGACCTTGATCTGGGTTGCACACTGATTGTATTAAAGCTCCTTTCCATTAAAGGTCTTCTATGTTTCGTCTTGATGGGAAGACAGCAGAACCTATTTAGAGCGGGCAAGTTTGGGGGTCCTGGGGTGTTCCTCTCACTGCCCTGTAACACGAGGCATTGACACCCCCCCACCCCAACTGGTTGTTTGGAAAAGCGCAGTAAGTCCGGGAGTTCTGGGATGTGCTCAGGGCTCTGCCGAGTGAATATTGCCGGAGGCAATTCCTCACTCACCCTGGACCCCACGGAGTTTCTCCTCCTCCTCTCTCAAGCTCCCCTCCATGGATTACAGAGACCTTAAGTGTCACTAACCTCCAGAATCTTAAATTTGCCTTTAACCCTCTCCATCTGATTGTCTGATTGTGAAGACAAAAAAAAAAATACAAAAATGAATGGCACTGTCTCTTAGAGACGCCAACTTTGGGGGGCAGAGCACACACACACTTCCACGTCTGTCCCCATCTCTGCGTGGCTGGCGCCCGCTGACCACAACTGAGAGCCCAGCTGTGGGGAGCCAAGCAAGGTTTCCGAGTGAGGAGAGGCGTGAAGCCCAGGCTGGCTCTGCCCAGCTCGCCTCCATCTGCTCACCTCCAACTACATTTGGGCAAAACCTGGGCGGCAGGGGGTGATGGCCACGTGACGGCGGCTGCCCCCCTCCTGGACTCAGTGACTCCGGGTGGGTGAGGTGGCCTCCGGGCCCCAGGGTGCTGCCTGCCCTTCCCTTCCTCCCTGCAAGGGGCCGATATCTAGGCGCGGGCACCTCGAGGCCGGAGACTGAGACCCCTGGCAAGCAGACGAGGGCGGAGCCGAGGCTCACACAGCCCCGGGAGAATGTTCTGGGGGGAAGGGACGGCACTGAGTTACCTGCGGCTCCGGAATTGCCGTTCAGCCCTGGAACAGAGGAGTCATTCTCCAGCTTCTCTGGGCGGAACGCGTCTTTCTTGGCCCCATAGGCCCGGCCGCCCCCGCCGGCCGCAATGATGAGGGGCACCGGCACGCCATCCTTCATCTGCCGGGAGACGTTCAGAGATGCTCAGAGATGCGGACAGCCGCAGGCTCCCCCTGGAGAGCCCGCGCCCCGACCCTGTGCTACGCCACCACCGGCTCCCCCAAACCCAAGCGCCCCAACCAGAGAAGCAAAACCACTATGCCACCACCGGCTCCCCCAAACCCAAGCGCCCCAACCAGAGAAGCAAAACCACTAGCAGGCGGCTCGGCCTCACAGGCTGCCAAGGCTGCTCAGATACCGGTCCTGCTCTCTTCTTCCTCTCCACTCTCCGGGGCTCTCTGCTCCCACAACTTCAGGAGGGAGCCCTCAGCCTCGCTGACTATGCGGGAGGCCCTCGCTGGGAGCCTTCGCTTTGGTTTCTAGTCTGACTGCCATGGTGCCTGAATAGCTGGGCACAGAGCGGGTCTTGGGAGCTCTGAGGCAGGGGTGACAGGCGTCTGCGTCGTCGTGTGAAAGTGGGCTGACCCATTGGCAAGAGGAGCGGGCCCTCCTTGGGCCAGTCATCCTCTCTCTCCCGGCCTCCTGGGTTTCCTCATCTTTAAGTGGGGTTAAGAGCCGCGGGGGTGTGTTGCTCCCAGGTGGGGTGGGGCCCCCCACGCCGGGTGCGTGGAAGCCAGGGGAGCTGCAGGCCACCTCACCTTAAACACGTAGGTGGCTCCGCCCCCTCCTCCGCCCCCTCCTGCCCACTCGTGCACACTTCTGTTCACTCGGATTTCTTCTTCTATCACGTTGTTCTCGCCAACGCAGACCTTCTGGATTAACTGGTTTGTCTGCAGAAACAAGAAAGCCCCTCAGGTTGTGCCCAGGTCTGTTCCCTATGCTAAAGACAGGTCTGGTGCCCACCCACTCAGCTTACGGTTGAGGTGAGGAGACAGAAAGGATAGCCCGATCCCTGTCGCTCTGAGCAGACAGAGAAGGCCCGCAGGCCAGCTTGGAGAGAAAATGCATAGGAAATAGTGGGAGGAGGGGGAGCAGGACTTGCTCTTGCTGCGGGCTGCAATCAGGGAGGACTCTCTAGAGGAAGTCTATTTAGCTGGGTCTTACAGGTTAGGGAGATTTTTTTTTTAAGGTTAGGGAGATTTTTAAACACCGATAATGGGGAGAAAGCAGCATGAGCCCAGAGAGGAGGTGAGTAGGGCATTTGGGAAAAAGCCCATCTTAGGAGACAGCCAGTCCTGGAGGGTCCCTTGGACTCTGATGGGTGACAAAGGTCCTAATGGTGAGATAGGCAGGGTGGGGGTGTGTAAATGGGGTTGTGGAGAGAGGATTCAGCCAACAGTCAGCGGATGCCCAGGGGTTCTGGACATAGCCTGTGGGGTGCACTTCATTCTCTAGAGAGTGGGGGCCAATGAGAAGCTGTCATCTGAAGTATCTTGGGACAGGGACCTGGAGGGGGTGAAGGCGGACTCTGAAATCCCAGCTCATCCTTGGGAAAGTCTCCTTCTGGACTCTCATTCTTTGCAGCTAATGTCCCATTTCTTCCCTCCGGAAATCCCTGGCCCAGCCCTACATGCAGCTGGGTGCATCTGTGGTGTGAGCCCTGGGCCCAGACTGGGTGGAGGCGACGCTGTGAGTGTGGAATAGGAGTGAAGCAATGTGAGGTGTGGTGGAGGTGTGGCGTATTCTCAGGGGTCTTCCATATCCAGGAGCTGAATAAATGGCTGCCGCTGTTTTGTTACTTTCTCCTCTGGGCCTGCACATAGGCCTGGTGTGACCCGGGCCCCGGGAGCCCATGGGAATGTGCTGGAAATTGCTGTCACAGAATCCTGTGTATCCTGGGCCAGAGAGTATAAGAAGCACCGTCCCAAGACATTCCAGATGTCTGCCTGACCTTGGACGAAAATGACTTTTCATTCACTTAACGGAAAAGGAGGCCACAAAACACAGCTTTCCAGGGGACAAGGCCACCGCCTTGAGCCCCTGCCTCTGCAGAGGCACTCAGAGGGACCAGCAGCGAATACTAGAAACATTTCCTGATAAATGGGCAAGAAGCAGTTTGCTTTGTAGCACTTTGGACTAAACAATGACATAATCTGATACCTTTTATAGTGGCTGTGGTGTGGGCAAAGGCTCTGAATGGCTGTTGTTAAGTGATGCCATCCAGACTGCACATACACAGCGCAGGTCAGGAGAGGGACATTGCTCCCGGGGAGGGCAGGAGGTGATGGGGGCTCTGAGCTGGGCAGGAGGTGATGGGGCAGGAGGTGAC